TATATATATATATCTCTCTCTCTCTCTTCCACACCCTTATATACCCGTATACGTATTAGTGCAAGATTGTGAATTATAATTGCACACATACACCAATATGCTGTCATATAAATAAACATACAGTATGTGCAAATCGACTGTAACATTTATCGCTCTCTCTTAGCACTTTGGACAATCACAGACACGTACACACAAACACATAACTCAATGTAAAGCGCAACCTATGCATTCATACACATCTTAGTACGCAGTTACACATGATAGATATATACAACCTTTGTGTGCACACAGATTACAAGCAATACCTAACATACATCGAGACGATGCACTGAGCGGCCTCTGCTGTTTTTTTGGCTCGTGCCTTTCCCCACCCTCCGGTTTTGTTGGCAGTTTTTATCACCCTGATGATCTGATTGGAGAGCCTCCTGAGGGATGTGTCGATTTGATTGGCTTGTTTTATCATCCTGATGATCTGATTGGCTAGCTTTGTTCATACTTTCCCCCGTTGGCAGGGTGGTTTTTATGACATTGTTATGCTCTACCTTCTGACTCGTGTCCTCATTTTTCTGATGCACTGCTTCGCTTGTTTCTGTGGCACTATCATGACCTCGTTTCCGAATGGTTTCCGTTAAATCCTGAACATTTGATTGGTCAGTTGCCTTCTGTGTTTGTGCGATAGCCGTCCATGCCTGTGTCTGTTGCTGCATGCCGCTGATAAAAAGCCTCCGCGCACGCAGAGTGGCCACCTGACTGACACGATAGGGTTCCGGAAGCCCATCTATTTATAGAATTGTAAGGATTATGGGGATTAGAACATCAATCAAATGTTTGTTTACAGTGAATAAGTTAGCCTGTAGGAGGTACATATAGAAGTTAGTTATATGATTGATTGCCTGTGTTTGTCTTGCATGCCGTTAATAAAGTGTCTTTGAGCACGCAGAGTGGCCACCTGATTGACGCGATAGGGCTCGGGAAGCCTATATATTTATAGAGTTGTAAGGATTATGTGGAATAGAACATCAAACATATGTTTGTTTACAGTGAATAAGCTAGCCTGTAGGAGGTACATATAGAAGTTAGTTATATAATTGATTGCCTGTGTTTGTCTTGCATGGCGTTAATAAAGTGTCTTTGAGCACGCAGAGTGGCCACCTGACTGACGCGATGGGGCTCGGGAAGCCCATCTATTCATAGAATTGGAAAGGTATGTGTGGGATGGGAGAGGCATACGTTGGTCGTGATAGGGAAGTGATTTTTTAGAAATAGTCTGTGTTGTTTTGCAGAAGTCACAAGGTAGGTGCGAGAATGAGATATATATATAAATAGATTGGCTTTTGTACATACGAGTACATGGTAGTGTTCGATAGAGACAAACAAAGACTGAGAAACTAGGTGAGAAACTAGGTGCACAGACAAACTGATATATTCACAAATGCTATCCATGAAACGTTCGACCCTAAAACCCTAAAGCAGCCAATTCTCATACATAAGAAATCGCAGAAACTCTTGTTTTCTTGAGTACTTGCCCAGTACAGCACATTCTCATATACACACGAAGATGTAAACCCATATTATTATATATCAATCAACATGTGTGTAACACATACGAGCACATGTGCATATCCGAGATATACAAACGAGTCTCCCGGGATAAAAGCGCACACACGTTGTAAGAACTTTGACGGATATTTTTACATCTATACAAGTATGTGTATAGCGGCTACATGCACATGTATATGTTTGTGCTATATTAATAGATTCTATAAATGCAATCACCATGTGTGCCAAATTTGCACTCAGACAACGGAGAATATAAATATGTATACATATATACATGTTAGAAAAGATATCACCTCAACAAATATGTATATTCACAGTCATGTTTCGAAGGCACTTGTTCGTACCTACAGGGAGTATCCGCAAGTTCAGAGCCCTCTGTAGCGATGCCTCGTCATACAACTCTCCTGTGGTTCAATACAGTCCCGAACTTGAGTTAGCGGAGATTGTATGCAAAGACTGTCATGTAGGTACGTATAAGGGGTGTAGGCGAATACAAATGGGTGCAGAAAATAAGCCGGGCTATAAATAGAAAGAATAGCGGTGTAGGTCTGTGTACACTTTCTGTTGCGAAAACCCGGATAACTACCTTGGCCAGAATCTAGATAGCGACATGCGGCTTGATATTTGCTCTGGTTTTGATACCCAGCGGATAAAAACATACGCATATACGTATATATATATGAGATACCATGACAAGGTCTCCCAAGGCGCAAAAGTACACGAGAATCACATGACTCTGCTGAACTTGTACACAGACGCAACCTCACATAGACTTGCATATATACATACATACATATAAATATATATAT